GCATGTGGAAGAAACGCGAGTATTTCTTGAACAAGTGAATGAGATAAAAATCTCTAACTTGTAAGACCAATTACTGGCCCTCACGGAAAGATAACCATACTGTTCATTCAACAGCTATTTAACGAAGAAAGACTATGTGCAAGGCCCCATGACTGTGGTCCTCAAACTTTTAGTGTGCATAAGAATTACCCAGGGAACTCCACTGAGGTCTAAGGATTCCAATGTGACAAGTAGTCCGTAAAAGGTGACTCTCTTGCAGGATCAATACCACCACAATATATTCTATAGGTCCCAATACTATAAGCATCTTTGTGTCATAATATTATACAATAATTCCCATCTCCTAGCAGATCTGTCCTTCACCTCAGCCAAGCCTTCCAGAATCTCCTCAAATGTCAGCTAAAATCCCAGTCCTCTGGGCTGTCGTATCTACATTTAGGTTTCCACAAAGTTAAGATTTGTTGCTGAAACGAACACACACGCACACAGCGCTTTCCTTAAGAGACTTTGCCTGTTTTTACCAAATCTTAACTGCCCTTCTCTTCCTTAATTCCTCTTGGTTTATGAGTTCTGCTGATTGGCACTCTTAAGTGTGGATTATCTTCTCAGCCACAGGGCAAGTTAAGTCAGCTTGAATAACATACTTAGGCTGCTAAGAGTTTCATGCTCCAACGACTGAGCAAGCCAGAGCCTCAGATTTTGGCTACTGATACTGATTCTGCCCAAAGGGAAACCTTTAGCAATACGTAGATCTTATGATAGCACTTCTTTCCCAAATCCTCAAAGGTCAGCTTTACGTGCTTTTGGTAAAAAATCCATCTTGGTTGTCAAGAATCAATTTTTATTTATATTCTGAAAATGGAATTACTTCTATTGTTTACAAATATAACACATGCTTACTATAAAAAAGCAAACAGTACAAAACTATATTACAACAAACTCCCTCCAAATCAGACCCCTCAAAGCTACCCATTTTTCATAATTTGGTGTTTATTCTTCCAAACTTTCATGTATAAACATATTTTCACATAGATCTTTAACTAAAATGAACCGTCACTGTTCTATAACCTAACACCTATGTATCTCTGCCCTCAGTACTCATGCTGAACTTCTATGACCAGATGTATGGGCATTTCTCCCAACTCCAACTCTATGAGGACCACCAGCTGGTGTCCTACAGTTTAACTCAACTCTGACACTACACACCTGGAAATAGCATCAGATCCCACAGGTTAAGGGGCCCAGCCCCACAAGACTGGCCCCAGTCTACCCCCACTTTAGAAGCCAACTCTAAGACCAGGCTTTCACCTCTGCTTTTGACCTATTGGAGGTTCCCACGACCTAATCCTCAGGTTCAATTTATTTGCTAGAGTGGCTCACAGAACTCTGGAAAACAATTTCCTTACTAGACAACTGGTTTATTATATAGGATATACCCCAAGAACAGTCAGATAGAACAGATACATAAAGTAAGACATGTGCGATGGGGAACATACATGCCCCTGGATGTGTCATCCTTCTAGCACCTCCATGTGTTTATCAACTCAGTTCTCTAAACCCCATCCTTTTGGATTTTTAAGGGAGGCTTCACTATGTAAGAATGACTGACCAAGACATGGGTCATCAGTGATGAACTCAACCTTTAGCCCCTCGCCCCTCTCCCCTCTCAAGAGGTGGGGCTGAAAGCTCCAACTGACAGCCAGACTTCATCCTTAGGGCTTTCCAAAAGTTACCTGGTTAACATTAACTTAGGTGTGGTTGAAAGGGGCTTGTTACGAATAAAATACACCTTTACTTCTCATCACTTAGGAAATTCCAAGGGTTTTAGGTATCCTGTGTCAAGAACTGGACAAACACCAACTATATATTTCTTATTACAAATCATATTATCACTTAATTCATTTAACATTACATTATGGGCATTTTTCCATGTCAGTTCTAAGATTTAGCTCCTTTTTAATAACTTCATTGTACACTACTGCATAAATATGCCAAAAATATTTAAAACAATATCCTCTATTTAATATTATTTCTAGTTTTCAAAAATTATGATGCTGCAACACATATTTTTATATACATCTGTGCATGTCTCTAATAACTTCCTTAAACGACTAGAAGAGAATCAGAGGTTTAAAGCTATGCTGTCCTGTAAGGTACTCAATAACCACATGTGACTATTTTAATTAACTGGAATAAAAAATTTAAAAATCCTATTTCTCAGCTATACTAGCCACATTCCAAGTGCTCAACAGCCAGATGACTGTTAAAATGTGGTAGCCTATGGCTAGTGACTACCGTATTGGACAGTGTAAATACAGAACATTCCTGTCACTGCTAAAGGTTCTATTGATAGCCCTGGTCTAAAGAAAAGTTCATATAAAACTTGACACCTGTATCCCATAAAAATGATGTAGCAATGTAAACTCCCAGCATGAGTTTCTATATCCTCTTGTCAGCATCAGACTGATGTTCTGGTCTGATAGATGAGACATAATGTTTCATTTACATTTGCATTATTAAAGTCTTTTCACATTTTTGGGCCATTTGTGCTTACTTTTCTTGTTGTTGAATTATCTGAACTTTGTCCATTTTAAGAGTCAAATTTAAAGGTATCCTATTCCCAGTTACCTATAAACCCTAAGCATATGTGCAGCAAAGAGACATTTCTTCAACTGTTTTGCTGGTTTCCTAATAATAATTTCACAAAGACATTTACCAAAACAGCATAAAAATAGCTAACAGAGTAGTACCATAGTGGAGTTAATGGTTTACATTTCTATAAAATAACGGCTATCACTGTAACATTACTTTTAGGAGATATAACAATATAACAATAAAATTTCAAATTAAGCTATGCAAAAATATGGGGTGATATATAAAATATATATAAATATATTATATTTATACTGAAAGTCTAGAATAGGAAAAACCAACCCATGGGATAGGAATGAGAATAGTGGTTCCCTGGGTTGGTAGGGGTTGGGAAGAGGAATGAATGGTCAAGCATACAAAGGTAGTTCCTAGCATAATGGAAATGTTCTCTCTTGATAGGGTGTGTTACATACAGCTGTCAAAACTCAATGACTTGCACACAATAGAACATAAACAGTTTCACTATATGTAAATTATACTTAAATTTTTAAAGGTTTAAAAAGTATTGTGCTATTTAGAATATACAATTGACAGCCCTAGCCGGTTTTACTCAGTGGTTAGAGCGTTGCCACGGAAGGGTCCTGGGTTCGATTCCGAGCCAAGGGCATGCACCTCGGTTGCCGGCTTAACCCCTGGCCCCCGAGGTCGGGGCATGTGTGGGAGGCAACCAATCGATGTGTCTCTCTCACATCGATGTTTCTCTCTCTCTCTCTCTCTCTCTCTCTCAGAAAAGCGATGGAAAAAATATCCTTGGGTGAGGATTAAAAATAAATAAATGAAAGAATATACAATTGATAGGCAATAAACATAATTTTAAATATTTCTAGAACTTAAAATGTGATTTCCTGGCCAGGAAACACAAAAAGTTTTGCAAATTTTGCAGACTATGTATAAAATCAGAGCCAAACCACTCAACTGTCAAGCAGGTGACACTGTAGAAAATTCACTGTAATACCAGGGCAAAACATATTAAGGCATCAGAAAATTGCTACCATTTTTAACAAACATTTCTCTAAAAAGTCTGCACCAGTGATATGAAAGCTGAACCAAACATTCACTTTCTGGAAAACCATTTCCCTAATGTTATCAAACAGCACTTGATTTACTTTTCCGAGCCATTCCTGCTGAGGTAGTTTATGATCTTGGCTCATTTTTGCCCTTTATCATTCTCTTCTGGTGGCACACACTAACACAAAAGCTAGCACGCGTATGTTAAAGCCAAAAGATTGAATAATGACAAGTGCCTAAGGAGAGACCAAGAGAAGATGCTCCTCCCATCTCATGCTACCTCCCCACTCCCACTGTCACTGCTCATTTATTATCTTGGCCCACTACCAGTCAATCAACCTGTTCAGCGAGAGAGCTCTTCAGGGCTAAACTACATGTCTTGTTCAAGTTCTTTGCATACAAGCTCAAATATCATGGTAACTTTTCAAACGACCTTGTTTATGAGATCAGAAGGATATGTGGAGGACACCAGGACTTCTGTCTCCAAAAGTGAAAGCTCGCCCAGTTAAGGATGGGGCGCAGAGGCAGGAAGGTGTATATTTTATTAGTATATTGGCCTTGTAGGAGAACAGCTGATTTTGTTATTAAATTCTAGATTATATTTTCTTTGGCTTTGGAATCAAACATATCTGGGTTTGAGAGTCAGTTACGCCATTTATGAGACACATGATCTTGGGCAAGTTACTTTATCACTCTGAATTCTGTTCTCTTATGAGGAATGCTAACAGTATACATTTCATAAGGCGTGTTGTGAAGATCAAATGTAAACACAAGTAACATTTTAAGCTCAGTGGCTGGCACATACTAGGTGCTTAACAAATTACAGCTACTATCATTCTGCATACACAATTCTGTTCCTTGAGAACGCTACGTAAATGATACAAGCCCCAGTCACTCCCCTCTGTAACCAAACTATCACCAGGACATTCAGGCAGTCATTTTTTTTTTGCTAACAAGGGACTAATATAAACAGGCAGCATTCCACAATTCTAAAGTCTAACAATGTCCATTACAAGAATTTCAAGAGCCAACCATAGATAAGTTTGCAAAAAAGCTAAAAGGTACATTTACAGGTTAGAAAAGAATTACACAAGATGAATATAAAAAATCAAAGTTCAAAGAAAAAGAAATGGAAATTTTTTGCTATGCAGACACTCTATGCTTTCCCATCCTGCTACTGATTTATTGCAGATGCATCACTACTAATGCAATCAAGACACAGACAGGTAAGTTAATCTTAACCACAGGTGATGCGGTTTATGACACAGTGTCGGCCACATTTATTCACTTTAAAAAAGCAGTTTACGTGGCAGATCATGTGCAATAAATAAAATACTTACCTGTTTCTCTTCCTCTGGCATGTCTTTTTCCAGTTCTAGTAGGTATTCTTCATCCAGTTCAGAGGAATTCACATCATCAGGTTTGTTCTCAACCTTGGCCACTCCTGGTTCCTCCTCAAATGAGGTGCTGCAGTCATGAAAGTGCTCCTCTTCTCCCTGGTCCTCCTGGGGATGGGCCTCAACATCCTCAAGCAGCTTGCTCTGGGGCTGGTGATCTTTGGGATTAGAAACTGAAGGACTAGCACATTCTGCTTCCTGGGGATCAGTAACTTTCAAACCATTGAACAGGTCCTCTGGAACCCTACAGTTTTCTGACTTCTCCCCCATGCTGAATCAGCCAGGAAGGTGAAGCTGGTTCTGGGAAAAGAGAAAACATATTTGGCAAAGTTGCTTATATTAAAAAAACAATCCTATCCAATCTAAACAAACTTCTCCATCAAAGCTCAAAATACACCCTAACTTCCTTTCACTAGCATTCATTATATATAAGTAGATTATCACGAGCCCATAGATAATGCCACACGTCATTTTAACTGATAACCCTTTCAGAACTTCTTATAAGCAACAAAAGAGACCGATTTTAATGTGACTCTTCCACTTTCCACTGCTCGAATATCCTGGGAACAGCAAAAAATAGGCAGAAGCTAAAACAATGGCAAGATAAATGAAGTGACCCAAAGCTTTATTTAGAACGAACAGCCAAGTCCTACATAAAATGCACCGTCTTTCCAGCACCCCACACGAAGGTCAAGAATACGTTCCTGGTGGAACTCAAAATGCAATCCGTGCCCAGTGATCATCAACTTCACCCCAACCCATCAGATGGGGCCCCTGAAGATTACAGTGGCAGGGGAACCCTGGCGCGGGTGGTCCAAATCAGGATCCCCGTGGGGGTCAAAATCAGGCACTAAGAGTGGTTCTCAGCCCTGGCTGCACAAGATAACAGCTGGGATGCGTGAGCCCAGATCTTATACTCCACAGATTCTGATTAATTGGTTTGACGTTGGGCTAGAGCATCTGTATTTTGAAAAAAGGCGTCTCAGGTGATTCTAATGTGCAGCCAACTGAGAACCGCTATGGGAGAAGCTGAGTCAGACGGTCACAGCCCCACCCCTGCGGTCGCAGTCAAGTCGCTCCAACGACCCTTGCGTGGCGACAAGAGCCTGAATTCGCACAGGCTCGTCCCAAGCAAACTTAAAACAGCAATATCTTAATAGGGTGACTTCGCCTCCACGGCAATGTTTTCGTCTCTCCCCGCTCCCGCGTCTACAGGAAGAACGCAGGAGTTTGAGGCCCCAGGAGTCAGACGAGCCCCCCAGCACTTCCCAACGATTCGCCCGCCGGCCGCGACCCTCACCGCCGACTAGAAAGACCCAGGGGCTTACTCACCGCTTCGCAGGTCCTCCCTGCTTCACCTTCCCAGCCTCCGAGATCCTCTACTTCCGCTCAGCAAGTACATTTCCGTCGGCGCCGACCAATGGCGTCGCTGTTGGCGGAGCATTCTCGGAAGTGTAGTGGACCGGCGCTGTGTGACGTCATTGTACGGACTGAAAGAAGAGTGGCGGTGGCCATCTTGGGTTACGGCCAGACTCCGCGTTTTAGCACAGAGGAGAAAAGGAAAAGACAGCGGCTGTCTCTGCTCCATAATCCTTCGCTCTGGCCTCTCTCCTCCCGGCAGCGTAAAGAGGAATCCTGAAGCCTGAACCTTGTCCAAAAACAGTTCTCCCTCTGACAGTCTTCAGAGTGTGCCTTTCAACGGGTCTACCGCTAACGCAGAACATTTTTCATGCTACTAAGTTGTTTGCCTTTTCCACACTCCCCGCGTGAATGCACAGGGGAGTTTTCCTGAATTCTCCACTGTTTTCACTACCTATGTTTTGTTTTGGAAAATACTTATAAAAAGCTTATTTAAGTTAGCATATAATGGGTGTCGTGTTACCTTAAATTTTTTTTAGCATTTATTAACTCATTTAAGTTCTGATCTCTAATGCAGTAGATATTGATAGGCATAACCCACATGAACAAAAGCTTTTCGTGGTCCTCAGTAATAGTTAAGCGTGAGGAGGTCTTGGAACCAAACGCCAACTGTTGCCCTGCAGATGCCATTCACGAAAAGTTCACGGCCCGGCGGGCGTGGCTCAGCGGCTGAGCATCGCCCTGGGATCGGGGCGATGGGGGCTCCATTCCCCGTCAGGGCGCGTGCTCGGCTGCGCGCTGGGCCCCCAGCAGGGGGCGTGCGGGAGGCAGCCGGTCAATGACTCCTGGATATTTCTCTCTCTTCCTCTCTCTGAAATCAAGAAAGATATATATATAAAAAAAGAAGAAATGTTGATTAGCCCCCAGGCATTGTGCTGGGAATTAAGACGTCCCTCAGGGTGGTCAGCCGGGCAGCAGCAACGGCAGCAGAGCGCCCTTAGCTTCTGTAATCCGCAGAGCCTGCTGCAGAGAGCCGGAGGGGCTCCTTCAGGAAGGAACGCAAACGTGTCTTTTATTTATGTCTAAATGAGGTAATTCATACAGTTCTATTTTTGTGTAAGTCAAAAGCTTTAATATACTAAAAGGAAACCTTAAAAATGTAGCAAAAATTTTTGAAACTTTTAAATATTTCTTAATTTTTAAAAATAGCAGGAACTTCACAGATGTAAGTGGTTAGGCCTCTTATGACCTATAAGAAGTCCTGTTGATTAAATTCTGGTGAGTTTTGGAGCAAAATAAATAAAATAAGCTTGAGTTACAATGTCAGCTTTTTTACTTTACTGGCTGTTCAGCTTTGGCTGATAATTCTAGTAGCTAACATTTATTGATTGTATGCTTAGGAGGTGCCACATGCTGTGAAAAATGCTTTAGGTGGGTTATTTGATTATTTGAATTCTAATTCTGCTTCTGCCACTTGACTAGCTGTGTGACTTTGGGGCAAATTACTTAATGCTTCTAAATTTTAATACATAAATTGGGATGGGTAACTATTAAGTTTACTGGGAGAAAGAAATGATATCATCTAGAAGACAAGGAGCACAGGGTATGGCACACAGTGTTTAATGAATGTCAGATATAATAATGTGACGGGTCTTGTGACAGGAGCTGAGAACAGGAAACGAAAAGGAGACAGAGTCCCTGACATCCCACATCCCCAGGAGCTCATGAGCAGGTGGGGAGGAAGATGAAGGCACTACTGAGGTAATGGAAAGACACTTTTTCTTTCTACACCACGAAGAACCAACAGCCACTGGCCTAGTTCCCTAACGAGACACAGGCATTCCTAGGAGATATTGCAGGTTCGGTTTCAGGCCACGGCAATAAAGCGAATCATTACTTTTTGCTGGTGGAGGGTCTTGCCTTCATTTGTGAGAAAACACAGCCTCTGTGAAGCACAGTAACAGGAGGTGTGCCTGCATCTGAGTTAGGCTGTTGAAAGAGGCTGTTCATTCAGAGAGGAAAACAGGAGAGGCTGAAGGCCTCAGGAACATATCAGGAGATTTTGGGGAATGTTTATGTTATCTGGAAATGATTCAGATAGTCAAAGAGTACTCAGGATTAAGTTTAATGTATAAGCCTTTTATTTATGTTTATTTAAATGACTTGCTTTTTTGGATTAGACATTAAATGGCTGACCATCATCTCGAGTTTTTTCCTTGTTGACGAATTTCGTAACAGAGGTAACATTGAGCTTATTTGATTAGTAAACCCAGGTAGAGAAAGTTGTACATTTGCATGACACTCAATATTGATAACAAATAAGACATGACTGTTTTTATTAAACAAACTTTAACCAACTTTTATCAAAGATTATCCCAGGTCATGTTGTTATAGCTCGGAAACATAGTAAAAGCTCGGAAAATTCCCGGACAAGCCGACTAGGGAAACAGAGAGTTAAACAGCAGTCTGTGGCCACCTAGTAAATCCTATCTTCCCGAAACCAAGGACACTTAAGGTTTGCACTTCTCCTCCCCAGCCAGAGGGTTAATAGCTTAAATCACACTATTCAGGGAGACAGAGAACAGAAATCCATTTGCCAACCACACCCAAGGACAAATGAAGCTAAGAGAATAAACCTCAGTTTGGTACAGCTGCATAACGCTGATGAGTATTCTGTTGAGGTCCTTCCCTAAGACCTCCCCTAAAGGGCCAGCCTTTAAAACCCCTGAAAATATAGGTCCCCAGGCAAGCTCTCCGCACCCCCTAGGGTGGCACGCCAGCACCATCCAGTCTCCCCTCCGAGAGGACCCCATGAGGCTTGCAACCAGGGGAGCAATGGGCAGCGGCAGCTCGTCCCGAGCTTACCCCCGAACCTGTCTCCAAGGCCCCTTCTCTCTGGCTTCTCAGTGCGTGAAGGCAGCCCAGCCTGGGCTCTCCTGTTATTTCTGTGCACCTTTCTTGTTTCACCATCCTAAGTATATTTTTGCTGCGGCCAATAAATTCCTTCTTACTTTGCTACACTTTGTCTCTTGACTGAAATCTTTCCCTTAAGAGATAAGAACCCCTCGAGGTTTTCATCATCTCCCCAGTAACAATGTGAACTTGAAAAACATTTAGGTTAATTCCTACATTTCTCAGAGTATACTTAATTTATATAGTGCTTGTTTGTCTTTAAAACAATGGAATAGAGCTTTTTACAAATTAATTTTGGTAATACCATCTGGAGGTAGAAAAATATCACATATCTATCTATATTATACATAGACATATATAAATGGACAGACAGACACAAACAGATCTTTCAAATTTTTTAGCCATGTCTCAAACTCAATAGAATAGTTAGATCCAAATTGTGTTCCTGGCAGATGGGCCAAGTTAAGGTTACCTGCTCAGATGGCCAGAGTCTCTTACTGAAGATATTTATTTACATGCTTTTAGAGTAGGGATCCTTTTAAAGCTGTTTTTGGTGTCATTTTGTATCTAAAAAGCTTCTGAATACCAAATAATGCATTCCATTGTCTCCCAGAAGTTTGAGATCCTCTCTCTTCAAGGGTGTTCCTTAAGATGGACTTATCTAAAACCCAGTTTCCCCAGAATGGCCACTACAATTCCAAATATCCAAAAGTTCATCCATTTTCCCCAAAAGGCACAGGAGTCTGGTCCAAGGACAAGGTGAAACCTATCTTACTTTTGGATTCCCTAAAACATCTTAGCTTTGAGGGACCCTGTTTTCCAACAGCTATTCCAAAGTGCTGAGAATTGTGTGTTTTCCCCTCTTTTGAAGAGGATGGGTGACTTGCCTAGAAACTTCCACAGAAACAGATACCAGAAAACAAAACAGAAACAGAAAGCAAGTGTGCACAATACAGTTGGAGAGCTCAGAAGGCAGAGGGAGGGGAGCTCAGATCCAAGAAACACCCCACATATAGTAACCTTAGCTGCAAGAAGGAGAAGTGGCCTTTGAAGGTGATCTATATCTCTAAAAACGTATATGGATATATGCTTGGCAGGAAAACTCAGCGGTCTTTCAGTGTCAAGCAAATGGCTCAGAGCCTGGTTAAAGATGAGGCCTTTGATGCTGGTGACGGATGGATGAAGGTACCATGCAAAGAGGAGCCTGAGAGTCTCGGAGGCAGTCCTCCAGAAGGCTGCCAAGGCAAGCACCCTGCACTCGCTAACCTGATTGCCCAGCCCCCCTCTACCCCCACAACCTTGGTCATTTGGGCCAAGAAAGGAAATTTGTGCCCGAACCACAAACGGAATGACTGAGCTAGCACATTTTCCCCCCTGGGACTCATCAACTGCACCAAACAATATATTGAGTTAGGAAACATCCTTCCGACCTTCGCTTTTCTATATTAAATGTCCATGCCTATTTTGAAGCATAAAGCACTGAGTTCATGATGTACAAACCTTTGCAAGTTCAGGCAGTGGGCCAATTTGGGTCCAGCAGGTGGCAAGGGCAGGGTACAGAAGGAAAAGGGGAGGCTGGGTGTCAAGCACGGTGCTGAACATCTTCATCTGTCATTCCCCTCGCTGAATCCTCCCAGGCTCCCTTTGAATGGGGAGAACACCTTTTCCCTCCAAAAAGGAGACTGGTTTCTTCGTTGGTCTCTGATCAGGTCAAAGCAGAGGCAGTGAATATTTGGGGAGCTAAGTAACCTATAAATTCCTCAGCGAGCAGCCGAGCCCAGGATTCGGATCTCAGCACGGAGGTCTCCTCTCTGGGGGCTTGACTGTTAAGAGGACGCCTCTAACCACCCCCCACAGCTCCCATTATTTATTCTCTCCCACAGAAATCTGTTTCATGAACCATGGCACTTGATTATTTCCCAATTATTATACTCACCTCTTATTTGTGTGCTTTTTTTCCTGCTAGAAAGTAGAGTTTTAGAACAAGAGTTGGAACTCGTTTTCTGTAAAGGGCTAGGTAGTGAATATTTTAGGATCTGGGGGCCATGCGGTCTCTGCTGCAACTGCTGGACTGCTGTTGTCAGATGAA